GCAGCCTAATAATCCAACATCATAATAAAGATGATATCTACAAGCAGGCCTATATCTAGGCGTCAATTAACTTTATTCAAAGACATCGAAGATTTTTAAAAGCTTCCTGTTTCAACTTAAGGAGAGGTGAGCTACTACGCGAATAGTAACGACCTTCCCAGCAAACAATAATACGTTATGATAACGTGACAATAACGTTACAGTTTTGTGTTGAAAACTTTATTTTGTAGAACCATAAATACGTACTGAATATAATTTCACAACGTTTGCACGTTCCTACAACGTTGTGTAAACGTTATTTTGTGACATACCTAACCACAACATTGGCCAAGAACGTCATAAAAACGTAAACACGTGTTTGCCTGGTTTCTAAAGAAAATAACTCGTGGCTTGACAACTGGATTCCATTTTCTGATGAAGTTATTAATGTTTTGACACAGAACAGAGATATTCTTTCCATACCAGCGAAAAACCCACAAGAAACTTAAAAACAACCCAAACCGGAACGTCCTATCGAAGTAAGGGAGGATCTTTCCAGAGAGTACAAGAGATGTTGACATAAAATGTACGCACTGAATTTCTTCATGCAGCATTGCAATGAGCGTTCAAGAAGAATCGATTTTAAAGTCCACTTATATTTAGAAAATACATACACATTTTATTTCTCCCTGACGAATTGTAGTTTATCTCCCCAACGCCGGGTGGGGGGAGCTCTCTTCGACGGGGACCTCTCCTCGACGGGGACCATGCCCCTTCCCCTCCCTGCTGGCGTCACCCTTGAGGCGCAAACCGGAATCGTTCACAACGGATGAAACATTGTCCATCTTTGTAGCTCTATAGTAAAATGAGACTCCTCCTTACACCAAAATAAGAGTAGCCAAAAAGCATTGCTATCCTGGGGGTACAGTATAGGCTACCTGTCAAAGAGGACAGCAAAAGTTCCTCTTCAAAGCCTCCTTGTTCACACTGAGAATTATCAACTTACATAAAACGACCATTATCGATACTTTTACAATATAGGCCTAATATGATT